AGGGGGTTGTGTTTGGACATGTTTGTAATTTATTTCCTGGGGTGTCATCCTTGAAGATAGGTTATGTCAATGAAAATGGTCCCACATGTCTGCATCACAGGATAAAATTTGTTGATTCAAATTTCTAGTAGCGTCCTTCGCCACAGCTCGTCAAAGAGACACATTGTCAGTGCCAAAAGGAGAAAAGAAAAGTAAAAGTAAACAAGCAAAGTAAAGAGAAACCGACTCTTCATCTCTTCTATACAATTAGGATCTATACAAATCAGGTGGTATAGAATGATTCTATTGTTTCTATTGTTTCATCTTCTGTCATGTTTGGCGTAGTATGTGTCTTTTTTTTGATTTTTTTGAATGTTCTCAAACACAATTTTTTCCTGATCCCTCATCTGGCATCATCTGGCCATATCCTCTGAACACTTCAAAATTAAATCCTGTCCCCTGACCCCCCCCCCCACTCCAAAATAACTTTTCTTCGACACAATTAAATGCTATCCCCTGACCCCCCCCCTCCAAAACAACTTTTGTTGAACAAAATTAATTCCTGTCTCCTAACCCCCCCCCCTCCAACATAGAGATCATGTTTGAAATTATTTCCTCGTGCTTGACGTCTGATATAGTCTCAACACAACTATATTTTTGGTTTCCGCAATTTCAAAAAGCGTAGTGGACCTACAGGATATAATTTGGGGAGTACAAAGGAGGATCTTGGATCCCTAGGGAGAGATGGTGATGGGTTGGCGGGAGGCTTCTTGGACTTCTCGGTTGATCCTGCTTTTTGGGAGGGTGGAAGATCTGCCATCATTTGACAAAAGGGTTGGGCCAAATTTGACATCCTGTGGATTTGTTTTTGTTCACACATGCCATATGCCCGGATCGCGCTCGGCACACCAAGCCCCCAGGATTTTAGTCCCATCCAGTGAGTGGATGTTCTGGGCACCCCTATCCTCCAAGTTCGGCACCCCTTTGTCACTGCTGGTCTGTATATTTATGTTATATATTTTATATCATATATCTGTTTTGTCCCATTGATCTGACAGGTCCCACTTTCATACCACGATGGACCAACACATACGCTAACTCCATTCCAAACAATACACCGAACTTGGGTGTGCACATGTGTGCACTATGTGACACCGAAGCTGCAACCGGTATCAGAATGCAGGCATATGCAGGCGACCCACGGTCCATCCCATCACGACTCCAAACAGGAGTCTGCCATGGAGCAAGGACGCGACGCTACTACTAGCTAGAAGCTTCCTTGGGAATCGTTTCACTGGGAATTGGTTCACCTGTAACAAGAAGCTACTAGGAACGGTCTTTGAAGCTACTAGTAACAAG